CGCTCTCCTCCAGGTCATTCGCCGCCTCTTTCACCGACTCAACGCCCTCGACCTCCGGCAAATTCCGCGTCCCACCCTGCTCGAGCGCCAGCTCATGCGTCGGGGGGTCTGCACACCCGTCGTCCCCGCAGCAGATCTCACTCGGCCCGACTCGGTCTACCACCCCTCTCACCCGGCATGGAGGAGGCGGGTCTCCTTGCCTTGGGCGGACCTTCCTCAGGGGCTTCAGGCGGTGGGAGGGGGCCGGGAGGAGGAGAGAGGCCAGACGAGCCCTGCGCTGACCCACCCTCAGCCACGCCTTCCGCGGCCCCCCGAGCCCGTCACCCTCTCCCTCGCCTTCTCTCTTCCCCGCTATTCGGACGAGGCCGGTCGCCCCTCTCTTGCCTGGCTGCTCCGGCGCTTTCCCGACGACCTGATGCGGATCTACCAGGCCCTCCTTCTGGGGAAACGCCTCCTCTTCCTGACCGTCTCGGAGCCAGCCGCCTCCGCCTGTCGCGCCGTCCTCTCCTCCCTCCTCCTGCTCTCCCCCCCCTTCCTCGGACTTCTCCGCCGGGCCTTCCCCTACGTCAGCCTGGCCGACCTGAGCTTCCTCCAGCTCCCTTCGCCTCCCACCACTCCCTCTGTCAGCGACAAGGGGGCTCTCGGCCTTGCGCGGGGGTATGTGGCGGGCGCCACCAACCCCGTGTTCGCCAGGCGCGAGGAGTGGTGGGACCTCCTGTGCGACCTGGACCGCGGCCGCTGCTTCCTGCCGGGGGAGGCAGGAGGAGGGGAGGGAGAGGGTGACGGAGGCACGTTGGGAGGGAGTGGGGCAGGACGGGAGGGGGGCAAAGGCGGAGTGTGCGAGTATTTGGAGGGAGAGCTGCTGTCGGGGGAGCTCGATGCCGCCTTTTCGGCGCACTTGCGAGCGACCATGGCGGCAGCTTATAGCGCGCCGTTGCGGATGCCTTCAGGGAGGAGAGAGGTGGAGGGAGGAGGAGGAGCAAGAGAAGGGGCAGGGACGGAGGGAGGGGGGCTAGAGGAGTACCTCCGGGTCGCTTTAAACGCGCACACCCAGGCACTCGTGGCGCTGGCGGACGAGGGGGGGTCGCTAGCGCTCACCAAGCGGTCGCGAGAAGTGGTGGGGCGGATGGCGATGGCTCAGAGCCCCCGGGTGCAGAGGATGCGGCAGTGGATGGCGGAGGCGGTCCGGGGAAAAGTCATGGTAAGGGGGCGGGAAGGGAAAGGGAGTGAAGTCGGCCGCCGGAGGATTCGGCA